GAGGGCGATGCCAAAGTTTAAGTGTGGGGGAGTGAATTGGGCATTCGGGCAGTAGTTGTTACATGGGATTACTAGAGTTAGCATGTGCAGGTGTTAGTTGTATATTCATAGGAAAGTCATGTCAAAATTTTTGAATTTTTTTCTTTAATCTGTGTCTTTGTGAGCTGGCTAGCGTTTCGACTATGCTTTTAGAACATCCTTGAAGTGTTTAGGCTTAAATTGATTTCATGGTAATCTAGTTGTTGAAAGGATGAAGGCATTAGTCGCCCATTTAATTCATAATTTTTCCATCTCACCTAAACAAATCCTTTAGGAGAAGCCACTTTGAGCCTGCATGTTTTATTCTTTACCAAATTAATTGATCTCTATAGCCAAATGGCCTGTGTTTCCGTACCCGTGAATAATTCTGACAAAGTCTTGGTGTTTAGGGAACTAGGGGATTAATTTGATAAGTTTAGGGAATTTTTGTAGGAGCCAATTTTGGCACTGTTCCTATGCCCCAAGTGGGGTAAGAACAGTCACTTTTTAGGAATTCGATATTTTCGAATATTGCATTCTAGGCATGGATTTACCTTGATTAATTGAACTTTAATTGCTAATTTTCCTTGGTGAAGTCGAGATTATAATGGGGTAATGTGTCACGCCCCGGACCTACCCGGACACGTCAACAACCCGCCGTACAGTACGAATAGTCAACCGCAGTCCAACTCATCCATACTATACAAGGCGTCTTGAATACCATTCACACATAGTACATCCATAAACAAACACAATGTAAAACATTTATTTAAAACAGCGGAAGCATTTAATAAAAGTGTCTTAGCCACACTTTGGCAAACATGGGCATGCAAGCCCCCCCCCCCCCCCAAATAGTTATTCAAAATAATATCCATGAGCATTATTAGAATCGTTTTGAAATCAGAAAACAGAAGAAGCATGAACCACGTCTCCTCCCCTGAATATCCCAAGCAACGGGCGCCGGTAGCAACCTTAAGGTCCTACCTAAAACTGTGAGGTGGCCTCCCCCGTGAAGGGGAGGTCAGTACTTGGAAGCATTTGACAAGTACAATGACAACTATACCAAGTATAATCAACGTTTTAATTTCCAAGACCCTCAAAATAGGGTGATATCATAATATAAATCATAATTTATGTTTCCCACTTATTATCCTTATAATAAGTAAATTCATTTATTTGTCGGCACACGGCCCTTCTTATATATTCCTTTCCATTTATCATTTGCGCAACCCAACCCTTGGGTCTTATTATTTCTACGGGACTTGCTACCGCTGTCCGAGACCTCATGAGGCTCTCGGTTCGGACTCCAACATCCCGCCCCTGGACTCATACCCATCATCCAGTAGGAAGGTAAGGCCCTTCGGGGTCCTATCTTATGTGTTACCGCTACCGGAACCTAGTTAGGTCTCCGATTCGGATTCCACCCTAACCTGTGATCACGATGCAAGTCCATGCTATCCAACCCCGCTCTCTAGAGTCGGGAAGGGCCATGGTCCTTACTTATTTCCATAATTCAACCGGCTATCCTCAAGGACTACCGAACACACCCGTAGGCCAATCCTATACTTAGGATCAATTTATTATTTACTTTATCTTGGGTATCCCTTAAGGCCTACCCCTAGTATAACTTAGAGTTCATACTTTTCTACCTTAAAGCATCTCTTAAGACTACTTAAGGCATAACATTTCACAATCCAACCTTAGGATCAATCTTAACAACATTCCATTTTAATGTCTAACTAGTATCTTAATACTAGTCAAATTAATACCAACAAACCAAGTTCTCAACTCATAGTCATATAGACAATTCCCACTGATTTTCCTTTGAAAATGTCATTTATCTCAATATTCGAAATATCACTTTTAATCACTCATATATTCTAATATGAAGAAAAGTATATTTCAACATATGTTTCATAATTAATTCCACTTTCAAGTCAACATATTCATAACATATGATCATACACAATTTACTCTTAAATTTGTATATCATGCTCCTTTTTCTTTAGACATTAGTCTTTTCATTCTTAGGCATTATTAATCATTAATAATTCATAAAAAATACATTTAATTACCTTAGGTAATCTCATGAAATTAACTCACTAATTATAAGCAATATAGTCAGCCATCCTCACCTTATGATGTGCTGAAATAGTTGCCTTTGTTAAGCTCCACGATTAATCCTCGTTTTAAACCGACAAGAAGGCAAAACTGGACTGCCTGGACAAAAGCCGGGCGGCTTTCACGAAAGCCGGGCGACGTTCGTCCTCCTACAACACGAACAACTTCCTATATGTGGCGGTTTCCGGCGATTTCGACTCCTATCGATTCACCAACTCTTCTAAGTTAATTACCACCATTATATATCAACATTCTACACTTTTTAAACGTGTAGAACTTCATGTTTACTCCACCATATGATTTCTTGAAAATCATACAACATAAACTAGTTAAAAGAGTAGAAATTGTATTCTTACCTCTTCTTCTAACCTTTTCTTGTTGAGTTTTTTCTTCTTCTCGATTCCTCCACGTTAAATATTTGGGAGAGGCTTCTCTTGGGGCTCTTCTCCCTTAGCTGATTCGGATGGTTCAAAATGGAGGAGGGGGTGTCTCTTTCTCAATCAAATTGAGGAGATAATGAATGAATAGCCATGAGGGGGTGTGGGTTGTCTCCAATCACTCTTCCATGTGTGAGTCCGCCCCACCCCATATTCTGTTGTCCCTCCAGCTCTCCTTTGTCAACTTAGACAAATAAAACGTGGGGTGGCCCCCACCTATGTGGGAGGTCATCCCATTATGTCCCGGTGTGTATAATTGGCTCCGAAAGTTGTATTTTCGGACTATTTTAGTCATATTTTATTTTATCGGGCCGGATAAAATATATCACACATTCCCAATAATTATGGGCCTTTAGAATAGATGTACATTCCCCAACATTAATTTAGGAGTCTCCGAAACTCACTTCGGGTTGTTATCCGCTAAATTGCCAATATCGGTAATAGGGCCTCGTTTGACCACCGGTCAACTCCGTGCCTTTCCTATGGCCCAAATAAAATATACACAATCATATAGGTGTCATCTAGACCAAGATGAATATAATATGTGGTTCGGGAATTATCGGGCGGTCCCCGTCCCCGATGTGGGCCCCACATGCAATTTACTATTCACGTAAAGGAAATAATGAAATTTAACAATTACGTATATTCATAAATCATCCTTCAAGGGTTATTACATAATTTACTAAAAGTAAACGTGCTTGGGGACGGTGTCACATAATGTCTAGTGAAAATCTGAAAATTGAAAAAATTAATTAAATGAACTAGACCTCTTACCTTGCGAAAAAGAGAATGGGAGACCCGATCAAAAAGCGTAAGTGTTCTAGACAATAAGATGAGACTTGGGGATCTTTCGAAAGAAATGGCGTTCTCGTGCCAACATGACAAGGGAAACTAAACTTAATTAATTGAACTTGGAGGCTATTGTAAAATTAACATTAGTCCTTTGCGTATTTCAAGTATACGTCAAAGCACCAATGTGTCGCGGCGGTTTAGCTTAGTTGTGCACCATGTCTACTCTTTGCATAGGTTTAAATGATAGTTCCTAATTTGTGTCCTACTGAACTCCCTGATCCTAAGAATAGCCCTGAAATTCCTGAATGCATTAAGTTTTTGTCAGATTATTCCCAAAACTCTCAAAGTAAGGGACTTTTATTCTTTACCATCCACCATTCACCACCGCATTCACATGTCCTTCTGATCAGTAGCTAATTCATTAGTGTTTATTGCCATTACTTTAAGGATGTCGTGAATAAATTAGTCATTTGAGTTAGCCAGAGTACAAAGATGTAGTTTATGGAAGAATTTTCTTGGTTTAGCTTTTCTGTTTTGTGAATATCCCTTTAACTACGTGTGCATGCTAATTGTTTTGAATTCCATGTGGTGATTATCGTAAGTCCCGTTATTCAGTTTGCTTGAGGACAATCAAAAGCTTAAGTGTGGGGAAATCTGATAAGTCTGTATTACAACATGCATTTGATGCGTGTTGGAATCGGTTTTTGATGTTTTTCCTAACTCTTAGGTGTCACAAATCTCAATTTTAGCTCAAGTTATGTTTACCAGGCGTTGGTTCGAATTTTGTATTGTTTGGAGTCAAAATCAAGGGAATTAAAGTTCGGCACCGACGCTTGAGAAGAAATCGGGACGCATCAAGATGAATTTGAGAGAGATTTGAGAGATTTGGAGGTCTCCGGGAGGTTCACGGTGAAGAATTGATGAAGAGAAGACCTTTGGGATCGAGTCGGGAGCATTCGGGAGCATTTGGAAGAAGAAACGAGAAGAAAAGATGAAGAAAAGGTCACACACGATCGTGCCCAGCAGCCAGGCACGCCGTGCGTGCCTCGAAGATTACCAATCGACGGAAAAAAGCCAAGCACGGTCATGTCTGGGGAGATAGGCACGTCGTGCCTGTAGTGTATCGAGACACCAAACCGCTGGAACCCAAGCACGGTCGTGCCTGGCAAGGGACGCACGCCGTGCCTGTAGTGTTACGAGGAACCCAAGCCCTGGAGGCTAGGCACGGTCGTGCTTGGCAAGGCACGCACGCCTTGCCTGGACGCAAAAAGTGAGATTTGCTCCGCACGCACGGGCGCAGGCACGGTTGTGCCTAGCGCCGTTCCTGACCCCGGGAACCCTAATCCTACTTGAATTTCTTCCCTTTTTCTATAAATAAGGCCTCTCCACTCCCATTTAAAGTGGACGAACATTACGGAGAGACCTACACTACTAGAATTTTCCTTATTTGCTGCTACCCAATTGCTTCGCTTCTTATCTAAACCGCAACAAATAAGCAAAATTTATAAGTATTTGCTGCGATTCCTTTACGACCGCAGCAAAACGTAGGAAAAATTCATACTTTGGTTGCGGTTGTATAGAAACCCCGGCAAATACCTATTGTATTTTGAATTTAATTTTTTTTGCCGAAGCTTTTTGGTGCGGGCAAATACCTACCGCATCGATTGTTATGTAGTTGCTGCGATCCTATGGAGAACGGCAGCCTATTTACCCTCTTTCCTAACCTTTGAATAGGCAAAAACCAGCTAGCCCCCCTCCCAGAAAACCCTACGGGCCAACCAACTTTGTGCAGCCACCGAAGTCAGGTCACCGACAGGCCTCGCGAACTGTCCTCGTCGACTGTCCTCGCCGACGGCCCTCACTGACGGTCCTCACCGACGTCCATCGCCGACGGGCCTCGCCGAAGCAACTGTTGACCGGTGAAAATGAAGCATCTGAACTGGTATTTCGTTTCTGGGGGTGTGAAGGGTCGCTATTTTCTGGGGCGGTGATGGTGACGCGGCGGGGAGGAAGGATTCTTGGAGCGAAGAGGAAAAGCAGAGGGACAGTGACAACAAGGGTGAGGACGGGCACCAGAATTGAAGATCTATACATGATTTTTAAGATCTCAGAGCACAAAAATCATGAACTCTGGAAAATGGGGAAGTTCAATAATTGTGCAAAAAAAGGCAGAATTTGGAGTTTTTAGGTGAAGATTGGTTTGGGCGGAAGGTGGTTTGATCGAAACTGGAGCGACTGAGCGGGGTTTGTTAAGCTTATCATCGCCACATTCAAGCTTTTGCCATTTTCTATTCTTTTTGCAAGATTAGCACCATTGGGTTGTGAAGGGTCAACTTTGGAGATTGAGGTTTGGTTTATTAATTAACGATGACTTGCAGGATTGAAGATGGGAAAGTTGACTATGTTGTCCCTCATGTTTATCATATATGCTTTCATTGCCTTCAACTGCACTTCTTTGGAAGCCTTCAAACTTGGACCAGGTCAAACTCAATAATATATTTACAATTGAATAATTCGTGTTTTACCATGTTTCATCCACCTATCTTGTTGATTAAATGAAAAAAATACCACTGCAGAAAGACAATTGATTGAAGTAAGAAATGCATCACAATCTGATGACACAGTTAGAGTTGATCCTTTGGACAGGTTGAAGAAATACAGAGGAGGCTATGATTTAGAAACATACACTACTGGAGTGTGAGTTTACATGCCTCTTTTAATGACCATTAAGAACTTTCCAATATCTTAATAAGTTTAAAACAACATATATTGGCCTTTGACTTTTATTTTTTCTAATAAGCTAGTGGAAATAGGCAATAACATATGAAAATATGGTGAAAACAATATTTCTAAAGCCATGAACGTTTTTCACAGCCCTATGGTCCTCCACAGTCAAAGTCATAGAAATGTCTGTAGTGGAAGATAAGCCAGAAAAGGCTCGTCCAAACTAGACTAACATGTAGTAGGAATGTTAGATGCATTGATCTTTGAACTTTCCACCCAACCTTTATCTATGTACGTGTGGACACCGGATAAATAGTAAAAAGGCACATGAGTGACCTAATTGGCTTCTTCGCTTTTGCTTATGTCTTCATGTTTTCTAAACTGTAGTGAGATAGGATGGATATTAAATGTATTGCTACCTGATGAGGACCTGTTCAGGATTAGTTTGTTTAAATTCATTTTGGTTTGGATGTTTGATATTATATACGTAGTATCTTATATCACTCCCTTTATTCCTAAATAATTGTCTCACTTTCGTTTTCAAGATGTTTTCCAAAATAATTGCTTCTGTCCATTATTGAATGTTCAAATTATAGATTATGTCCATTTTAGTATGCTTTCATTGATCAAACTATATCTTATTTCTCAGCTCATTTTTCTTTGATATTCCATGTAATTAAATAGCCAATTACTTTATACCATTTCTAATGCTCTATCTTTTAGATGTAGGATCGATAACTTCTCGCGTTTGGATGTTGAGAAGCCTTACTTTATGCCTCTAATTGGAGATTTGTGAGAAAGATTATATTACATATTCAGCATCCGCTTTATATTCTTAGTATTCTTGGCTTCTGCAGGAGGTTGCTGCTTTATCCAAAGGGAAACAACACAGCTCATTTGTCTCTATACCTAGGTGTGCCTGACCTGCCTAGATTACCCAAAGTTTAGTCAAGCCCTTATTAACCAGTTAGACCCAAAGAAAACCTTTAAGAAAGGTATATGATTACGTTGAATGAGTAGTTGTTACAAATGATTGTTGTAATTCTGTTTCTATCCTCTAGTTATTGTTTTCTCTGCATCGCTGTATTGAAACCATGTACTCTGACCATTTTGTATCACTCTTCAGTCTTCCCCAATGCACAATGAGACATCTTAACAGATATAGATGCGGCTTTCTCTAATTATGTGTTTTAATATCGGAAGAGACCAATCTTTGTCGAGAATTGAAGTGTGTGAAGCTTGCGATGCATTGGTGATACAAGTGTGATAATTTATTGTAAACTACTACGTATTAGTTTTTATAAACTTTAAAAGATGAGGATTTCTATTGTATGCATAGTGAACTTTGGTGATGTATACCTTAGTTATTTTGGAATTATGATTTTGGTTTATGATGTAAGATGCTCTTGTTGAAATTTGAATGTTTTTTATTTTATAAATAGCATATGTTTTGGTTTGAAACACCATGTTTGTAAACTTAGTCATTTGGGTAGTAGAACAAAACAAAAATAAATATTACTCCCTCTGTCCCGCTTAGGGGTGGATTCGGGCCGGGTCGGGCCCGGGCCGGGCCTAGGCCCGGTCGGGCCGCCGGTTCGTATGATATGGGCCCGGGATCGGCCCGAGGGTTGGACGGGTCCGGTTCGGGCCGGGCCACCTGCCTGGGTCACGGGTCGGGCCACCCGCCGGGCCGGGCCGAGTCGGTTAAATATTTTTTTTTTTGTTTTTATAATTTATATTTTATACTTTATAGTTTTATACAAGTATTAAAAAACAAACTTCAAGTGCATTTATTTGAAATGAAATAGGAACTACATTTGAAAATTAAATAGGAACTACAATTGTTTTTAAAACGTGAAATACTAATCAATCATTCAATCGGAATCTCCGGCATAGGTAGAGTCACCCTCGGTTGTAGATTCATCCATAAAGTGTTGCGATGGGGTGATGTCAATTTCTTGAGCTCTACGGGCTGCTTTCAACCAATCGTGGTAGCATATAAGCATCTCAAGAGATTCAGCGCTCAACCTCGTTCTGGTTAGGGGTGGACTCGGGCCGGGTGGCTCGACCCGGAACCGGCCTGGGACCGATACTGTTCCGGCCCGGTCCGACCCGGTGGCCCGGTCAGTGACCGGTCCGTGTAGGCCCGGGCCGTGGGTTTTCCGGTCCGGGCTCGGGTCACCCAAAACAAGGCCCGACCCGGCCGGGCCCAGGCCCGGTTCGGGCCAAAACCTATTTTTTTTTTTCATTTTTTTTTAAATTTTCGGGTTGGGCTGGGTATTTTGGGCCATTTGGGGTGGTTTGGGGGGTTGGGGGTGGGAGGGGGGTTAATTAGGAAGAGGAAAACAAAAAAAAATTATAATGGGCCCGACTCAGCCCGGCTCGGACCCGGACCGGACCCGGTGGTTACCCGGGCCGGTCCCGGGTCCACCATTTCTGAACCTCCGGCCCGCCCGGGCCTAGGCCCGACCCGGACCTGGCAGGGACCCGAGTCCACCCCTAGTTCTGGTTTGTGTTAGGACATTGCCGGCCGAACTAAATTCTTGTTCCACGGCAACCGTTGAAACCGGCATTGATAGCACTTGCTTAGCCATCTTTGCTAAAACCGGGAACATTCTTTCTTTTCCCTTCCACCAGTTTAGTACGTCAAAATCATCATCTTCTTCAAAATCAACATCATAAGTTAAATACAAAGAAATCTCATTAATTGTGCTTTGTTGTGTAGCGGGAGTTGATTTCGTTTTTTTAATAAGATTGACAAACGTAGATTTGAAAATTGATTTTCTTTTAGATGATGTTTGTGTCGGGGGAGGGGGCGCATTGCCATATTGTTCATGAAACTCATTGAATAATGCATAAAATATATCACTAACCTCGTTGTATTCTTTTTTCGGATCAATTGGGTTGTCCTCATACATTGGCAATGGACCAAAAAAAGTAGCATAATAATAATTCAAACATTCTTCTAAAGAACCAAGTCTAAAACGAGGATCGAGAACAAATGCAATACCATAAATATGCAGAATATGTGAATAATATTTTAAAAACTTTTCCTTCATAAAACTAGCAAAATAACTCACATAATCAGCATTCTCAAAATTTGAAAAAGCACCGGCGAGATTAACAGCTTCACGAATAAATTGGTTTGAGGTAGGTTTATAAACATGACTAAAAGTTTCAGTTGCATTATTAAAATATATCAAAGCATTACAAATTTTTTCACAGGTGTCGCCGTGTCGATCTCAGCCGAGTTTATAATATAGTTTTCATATTGTTTCATAAAAGCAGGAAAATGTTGTTTATATCTAAGAAGAACTCCAATTAACTTATAGGTACTATTCCAACGAATAGACAAATCTTTAGGAAAAGCCACATATCTCTCACCTCTTTCTATCAAATAATCATGCCAGTTTTTCCTAAGTTGTCCATTACCCCAAATACGTCTAATCCCCTCTTGACTACCTCCAACGATGCTCCCAACGCTTTTAGACCATCTTGCACACATAAATTTAGAACATGACATGCACATCGTTGATGAAAAAATCTACCCATCAAAGAAGTAGAACCACACAATTCACGCAATCTAGGAATAGCAGCAATGTTAATAGTAGCATTATCAAAACCAATAGCAAACACCTTATCAATTAAATTATACTCAATTAAAATACGCTAAATCAAAATATAAATATGTTCAGCGGTGTGACGATCATTAAATTCACGGAAAGCAAGAACACGTTTATGCATATGCCAATCATTATTAATATAATGTACAGTCAGACCTAAATAATGTAAATTATGATAAGTATTCTCCCATATGTCAGAACATACAGTAACACATCCATCCAAGTTTACAAAATAATTTTGTAACCTTACCTTTTCCGCACCATAAAGCCTTGAAATTTCTTTCTTAACCGTTTTGCGACTATAACCTCTATATTGCGGATTTAAACAAGTTTGTGCATAATCACGAAAGCAAGACTTTCAGAAGACAAATAAGGCAAATTTTCTTCAACAAGTAAGTTAGCCATACCTGTCAAATTTTGTGCATCATTGTATGAGAAATTACCAAAAGCTTGTTGGTTATTTGCAAACCTCGATATTTGCGTTTGCTTCCCCGTTCCGCCGCCTAATTTTGCATACTCCACCGGGTGTTTGGACTTAAGATGTCTTGTGGCGGATCTGTATCCGCCGGAAATCCCCAAGCTATAGTTTTTCTTGCACCAATTGCAAGTTGCGGTCCAATTCCCGGTGTTCGGGTCATTCCACTTAGAAAAATTATTAGCCATTAGTTCAGATTTACTTTATTTGTACCTGTTTGGGATGAGGCAGGTTGGTCGGCGTCATGGCTGCCGCCACCCTCCTCCTCCTCGTCGTCGTGGCTCTCCGGAATTACTTCCTCCACATCGTCGTCCTCGTCCTCGAGCTCTTCTTCGTCAATGGTCCTCGGTTGGTCTTGAAAAAAGCGGGAATTATGTCGGTGCAATTCTTGTTCTAGTTGTTCGTCGGTCATCGCATCCCCATCCCTCCTTGCGTAACCCGTATCAAAATCATCTCGACTTTGAGATGAAGAGCCGATATGTGATTTACCTTTGCGGGATCTCTTCCTCGCAAGCTCTTTCGTTCGGTTGCGCTCGAGGTTACCCATATCAACCGAATATCTAGGACGATCCATCTAAAAAATGTAGCAATTAATAAAAAATTGTACAAAAGTAATTAACTATTTATCTAACTATTAATTCGAGTTATAGCAAATTAACTAGTGAATTAACTAGTTTTGTGTACAACCTATTTTTTTAAACTAGAGTCAAATGTAGCAATTAATAAAAAATTGTAAAAAAGTAATTAACTATTTATCTAACTATTAATTCGAGTTATAGAAAATTAACTAGTTTTGTGTACAACCTATTTTTTTAAACTAGAGTCAAATGTAGCAATTAATAAAAAATTGTAAAAAAGTAATTAACTATTTATCTAACTATTAATTCGAGTTATAGCAAATTGACTAGTGAATTAACTAGTTTTGTGTACAATGAGTACAACATATTTTTTTTACTAACAATGAAATTAATACACTTTAACTTTAACTATAGATAGAATTACAACTAGTTTTTTAAACTAGAGTCAAATGTAGCAACTAGCAATTAATAAAAAATTGTAATAAAGTAATTAACTATTAATCTAACTATTAATTCGAGTTATAGCAAATTGTACAACCTAATTAACTAGTTTTTTTTTTCAAGTAACGTTAATACAAAATTAAACAAGTGTAAATAATAGAATAATTTCGTACCTCTTTCGGACTTTCGGTCTTTCAGATGGGAGTAATAGAATGACTTCAAATTAATTAGATATAATTCCAACTATATTAATAGATATAATAAATATATAAGTAATATATAATTGGATAACAAATATAAGTAATATAATACTATTTATATCTATTTATAGTTTATATAAGTAGATAATTAATATAAACTATAAATAATAAATATAATATATGGGAGAATAGAGAATAAGAGAATTAGAGAGTAGAGAGTTAAGAATAGGATTTAGGAAGAATTGGAGAAGAGATATGAAAAAATGTTTAAGATTAGGAGTATTTATAGGTTTTTTTACCCCCACCCCCCATCACCCCCCCCCCCCATCACCCAACCCCCCCGGACCCCCCTGCACCCCACCCAACGGCTATATAGCCGTTTGGATTGTCCCCAGCCCACCCCCCAACGGCTAGTAAGTATTTAACAATTTTTTTTAAAATAGGACCGTTGGACCCGGACCCAGGCCCGACCCGGCCGGGCCGGGTCACATTTTTCCTGAACCGTGCCCGCCCCGCCCATTCCCACCGGTTCGGGTATACACCCGGTCCCGGACCGCCCGACCGGGCCGGTCCCGGGCCCGCACAGTACCGGGCCGGGCCGGGTCACGGGCCGGGTGGCCCGAACCGAATCCACCCCTAGTCCCGCTAGAAGGTTCCACTTTCCTTTTTTGGACGTCCCGTTAGAAGGTTCTCATTTCCATTTTAGGAAACAATTAACAATCTTAAGTGACAAATTAATCATTAAATATTAAAAATAATACATTTATAACATTACAGTTATCAATACTAACTACATTATAATATATACATATTAAAATTATTTCTCAAAATATACTCGAAGTACTTTATTTAATTATTGTCTAAATAATCGTGCCGTTTTGCTATGGGAATCTTCCAACGGGACGGAGGAAGTACAATTTTAGCTTTTTTTTAAAATATTTTTCGCTGCAAAAAATAATAATACTATTTGCTGGAAAATGTATTTGATGTGGTTCAGAACCGCAGCAATAAGTCAAACAATTGATTTTTTAAAATATCTATTTGCTGCGGTTCCGAACCGCAGCAATAAGTCAAAATTCGTTTTTTTTAAATAGCTATTTGAACCGCACCAAATACGTTTTCCTACAATTTGCTG